AATAAATAAGTGATGTTTTATTTTTCAGCAAATAGTATATCATATTATTATACATCTGTCACCGTAACGCCTCAAGGTACAGCGTGCCGTACTTTTGCGGTATTTTACGGAGTATTTTCATCCTACCATATTAGAAAATGCAAAAAAACAAACAAACAAACATGGCTGCCATCAGGGTTTGACCGGATTCCATACAAAGAAGTTCGCTGATACTGATCTAAACTGTTTGGATTTCGGCATTCTCATGAGAGGAAAAGATGCGCGTCGGTTGATATTTCCGCTGTATATCGTGCATACTTTCAGGTATCCTCGTAATAACCTCATAATAACAATGCGACATCGTACACCATGTTGATTGATTTCCTATCGCACTTGCAATATGTTGGTACATATTGAAGCTGTTGAATCAAGTACACAATGCGTATTCCGCAATACAAATTGTAATATGGATGATGGTGATCGCAATTAGAAAAGCAGTTTGATTGATAAATGGTATGCCAAGCGTGCGATAATACAGTATCCGGGACAATTCAACTCATTTGGACGTATTTACATAGCGCCAACAATTGTTGTTACATATTCAGTCATGAATGGGCATAAGCAGCGTATTCAAAATTAATGTGTCGCTCACATGCCTATTGCTCTGATCGCTAATATTATTTTCTCATTTGAACTGTAAATAGGACCTAACTGTAGTGAATTTGCTAACGGAGATGTATAGTTACATGAAGCTTCCGGATCATGTATTTTGTAAGCCAGAAATTTTGGATCGTCAATCGTCTTGTGGATTACGTCTGTTAGGTTTGATATTGGTTCAATTTAAGGTTGAGTGTTTAAATATAAATTCATTATTAAACAAAAATGGAAATTTTCAAATCTATTTTTGCAGTGAAATTTCAATGTATGAATTGCGTTACGATTTATCAATGGTTACACTACGTTCCGACTCGGTACATCACAGATGCCACCAAATAATTACTCATGACAACTTGCAATCATGAAACTACATATTACTCAAAGCTACACCCGAACTACAAGATGTATCTAAGAAAAATATTGTAAATTGTATTCAGATTGTCATTTATGATGACAGTAAGGTAATGAGATGGCAATTAAAGATGCATCACCTAATTGCATTCGGGCAGTATCAGGTTTGCAGTAAGTGGTCGATTTTATAATAATGCAGCACTTCCGACGTTGTTGATATCATGGTGTCTCAAATCATTTTATATTTTCCTATACAACTATTCCGACGTTGTAAATAATATTCTGTAGTTCAATAACACTTCTTATTCATTGTATTTAAAACTCTGGTGTTTCGAAGCAAACTTCCAATGCAACCCGGTGTTGTAAATTATATTTTGGTGTCTCAAAGCATTTTAATATTTATCTATACAACTTTCTTTATGTCCTGTTATAATTTCCTATGTACCTCTCCCGACGTTGTAGGTAATATGTTGATGTCTCAAAGCACTGTTTAACATCCTACGCAACTCTTCTGGCGTTGTATTCTTTGTGATATTCTGGTCTATCAAAACACTTTTTTTTGACTTCATATCTAACACTACGTTGTAGATGATATTCTCGTATTTCAATGTACTTACTATTCAACGTTTCTGACGTCGTAGATAATAGTTTCATAACTTTCTATGCAACTTTTACGACATTGTTGTTGTTTTTTTGCTCCAGGTAAAGGTCAAAAGGTAAATATCTCCACGTCACGAATTGCAGGCATACTAGTTAGCATATATATATGATAAAAACCGATATTAAAAATACTGGTAATTGTGAAGCCAAAAATATCATTATTGTGTACATATATAGATTGATGTCGTGACTAGGCGGATATTGATAAAGATTACCATATTTACGGAATACACAAGGAGTGCTGTACCATTATACTACAGGTTCGGACAATTTTACTATCTTACTATTACTATTCAGTCTTCTTGGGAATTCTAGGTTCATACATATGCATATAACAACGTCAGTTTGTGAATAAATAGTATTCACGCTTGTACGACTTCATTATGCGTGTATCCCACGGACATGATGATCCTGATACGACTGCACGAGGCCTGTGGAATACATAATCGCTCCTCTGAGCCTGCGCGTCTCTAGACTGTTCATGAACAT